CAGGAGGTGTAGCACCTGCTGGTGCTTGTGGGAGTGCCGGAGGTGCTGGTGCTTGTGGGGGCGCTGGAGTGGTGGCTGTAGCAGGCTCTGGTTCTTGTGGGGGTGCTGGAATGGTGGCTGTAGCAGGCTCTGGTGCTTGTGGGGGTGCTGGAGTGGTGGCTGTAGCAGGCGTTGGTGTTTGTGGGGGTTGGCTGTAGCAGGCTCTGGTGCTTGTGGGGGTGCTGGAATGGTGGCTGTAGCAGGTGCTGGTGCTTGTGGGGGTGCTGGAATGGTGGCTGTACCAGGTGCTGGCGCTTGTGGGGGTGGAGTGGCAGCTGCCAGTGCTTGTGAGGTACGCGGTGCGGCTGTTGGATGTTGCAGCATATTGTTTGCAGACACCGAGGCTGATGCTTCTGACAAAGGAGCTGCTGCCAATGTCAACGGGCTGGGAGTCGCAGCAGCTGGAGCTTCTGGAACATCTGTCGCTGCTTGCACTCCCTTGGTATTGGGGGTAGTAGTGATTCCATTCCTGCAGCTCAAGTCGTCTGTGCTTTTCCGCCTCAGGACATTCCAGAATGCATGCATCCCTTCAGCAGTCACTGGTTTGAAGTTCATGGCATCTGGTGACTGCGGCAGTGTGGGTGCAGGGGACGGATGCGGCGCTGTCAATGCAGGGGACGGAAGCGGGCTGGCTGCAGGGTAGAGGGATGAATCGCCAAGCTGGTTGTCTGCTTTTCCTGGCCACAAGTGCTGTTGGTGGGGATGGTGATGGTTCAGATGTCATCTGGAGTGGCTGGGGTCCTGCTTGGTTGGGTTGTGCTGGCACTACAGGGGCAGGTGTTTCAGGCAGCTGATCGCAAAGCCAAAATTCCCACGACACCAAGTCTTCCATGATGTCATCATCACCAAACCCCGGAAGCTCTTCATTACTGTCTGGGTCCGCCAGCTCCGGACCCAGGCTTGATATTTCTCAAACAAGGGGTGTTGCGAGACAAGCCCGGCCCGGCCCTTTCCTGAAGCTGGACCAAATCCAATTTCTCAAGCACAGACCCGATGGCCTCATCTTGTGCCAATCTATTTTCCAGACTGGCTGCGTGGGGACAGATGGGCTTAACAGGTGCTGCAACATGGGCTGATGTTTTGTGTAGCGTGGACGGGTGCTGGTGCCTGTGCTGGCTGAACAACAGGTGTTGCAACAGGGGCTGGTGTGCTTGGCAATGGGCCAGGGGCTGCTGCCTGTGCTGGTGTCACCGGGTTGCTCATAGCTGGTGTATGGGCCAGTGAAGCTGGCTGGCTTGGTGTCAAGCTAAGCTCCAAAGTGTTTGGCTGTAGACTCCAAGTCTGAGCTTGGGTCGCAGCTGGGCTGGATGTGGCTGGACCTCCAGAGCCCATTTGTGTGTCCTTCGTTTCAGTTTGCACCTGCTCAATTGCCTCCTGTTGGTTTGCCATATCAGCTCCCTGCGTTTCCAGCCAGATCTGGAACTGACACAGCTCGTCAATTGGATCACGCTCGAAGGGCGTTGAGAGTGGTCACCTCCTCTGGCTGGATCAAACCGCTCATGTAGAGTGGAATCAAGGGACGCTGTTTGGCTTCTTGCGCCAGTCTGGTAGTTTCGCACTGGGCCAGCTTGGAAAGATGGGTCAGGATTGTGTGCTCCCGTTGTTCGTATTCTTTGGCTTGCTGGCTTACCTCAGCGTGAATCTCGGATGGGAGAATCTGGGGCACTGGGGGTGGTTTCAAGACAATGTTTGCAGGTGTAGTGGGCTGGGTCAGCTCAGCTGTGGCTTGCCGTTTGATGCCTGCAAAGAATGCCTTCACCCCGTCGGCGGTGACTGGCTTGTATCAGCCTGCTTGGGTTGGGGAGCAGCTGCTGTGGTGACTGTGCTGTGTGCATTCTGAGGGGTTGCTTGTGTCTGGACACGAGCTCGAAACACAGGAACTGCTGGAGTCGCAACTTTTGCCTTGGGCGGATTAAAAACCAACTTAATGTACGACTTACATGACCCACATGTCAACACAAACTCTGTCGTCAGGCTGCTGGCAGTGTATCCGGGCAGCTAGGTGCACCATCGTTTGGTCTCGATCCTGGGGCATCAAACGTTGGTGATCATCATATAGATGTATACATATCACCCTCTGAACTACAAAATTTAATTTCGTATATAGTCCTGCACCATCATCAGCGTCAGAAAAGCTCAAGACCCGAGGTTGGATAGGTGCCTCCTCACAACCGCGCGGCTTCTTGCCCTCAGGGGTGACCTTTGTAGAATGCGTAGCCGGTGGACGCGAGCGCTTATCCACACCATCACCGCCTGCCAACTTTGCCGCTAGTTTGCGTCGTCTTGCAGCATCTTCTAAAGCTCGCTGAGCCGCCTCCAGCTTGGGTAACAAACAAACTGCGATTCTAATTATGGTGAGGCGAGCCAGTGTGCATCACAAAAGGTAAACCATCTCACATCATCCCACACCCAAACCGGGTTTGCCTGGACCAAGCTCGGATCATCAGAAGCTGACATGATACCACCAAGCACTGCCGCAAGCAAAACGCCGACGGCCAGAGACAAAACTCTGGGCCAAAATGTTCTGGTATTGGGAGGTTTATGTTCAATCACAACCAAATTTGACTAGTCAATGTACACCACAAGACTCTAGAACTCCTAAGCAAGGGAAACTAGCTTGTCAAGGCCATGTTACGGTCTGTCACGGTCTGTCACGGTGGTTTCCGACAATGTCAGCGTTTTTAATTGGAAAATGACATATTGTCACGGTCTGTCACGGGTTGTCACGCTACCCTGACTTCCACTCCTGAGCGATATTTTGCCAAATGATTTCCCAAAAGTCTACATTTGCATGTGTCAGAAAAAACAGGTGACAACATTACAACAATGAAAACATCTTGTGGGGTGGAACCGTGGAGTGGAATTGTAGGTCAGACGCCAGATTTCCAAATATCAAGGTAAAATTGTCACAACACAACGTTGAATGGCGTACTGGTATGTTATAGACTGAAGACTGGGAAGTCAGCGCCAGTCACACACACATGCACACACACATGGTTGGAGTGGTCGTGTGTGTACGGGTCTAATTAATGTGCAAAGTCCACAAAAATGTGGATAAGTAATTATTGAAAGTTCGAATTCAACACTGAGAATAGCAGAAAGGGACCTGTATTCCCTGCAAACCAACAGATGTGTTGTTTCTTTAAAAAATGTATCCCAGGCCACTTGTTAGCGACACTAAAAACATATATAATAGCTCAGGCCCCAAACTGTTTCTTGCGGGCTCAAAACGATAGACCAGGCAGAGGCGTGAAGTTGCCACGGCGGTGTTCCTCTTTGAGGAACAACTTCAGGTCTTCCAAGTTTGCATGCTTCCACATCAAAGGCATGTCCTTAGTGCAAACCAAACTCTCGAGTTTATATATATATATATATAAACCTGTATACTAATGTCGTCTAACGATTGATAGAGGCAATTGCATGTCAGATTGGCCATTGGGTCACTAACCTGTTACAGACCCCTGTACACAGAGTATTGGATTTGTTACGCTAGGCTTTGGCTAGATTGTCGGCCTAAACCAAATTCTGCAAACAAATCCGGAGATACGGATGATGCCAAGCCCTGTGCACTGCACATCAGCAACTGTGTGCAACAGATGCATGACCGACATGTTCGAGTTTGAGGACACGACGGGCAATATACATTGCGATATATATATGAAACCTTGCAGGGCCACCAACAGTCAATGTCGTCCGCAGATGCGTCAAATGTTGAAGAGTGGCTGAATGCACTCAAGTCAAAGAGCCTCAAGAAAGAGGAATACCCGAAGGCCAACCATGTTGAAGAGCGGCCCACTTCAAGCTTGAGGGAGGATGCCTATTACAGCTCCGTGCTGGAAATGATCACCTAAGTATTGCCATGTACTGGCCTGGATAGGAACGGGCTACTGTGCAGGGTTTGATCTCATCCCGCAAAGACAAGAATGTTTTGTAAACATCAACAGCTACCTGACCCCTCTCCAACAAGGACGATTGCCAGATGAAGTTATCATGTTCCACGTAGAGCCAGCTTTTAAGCTTTTGACCTGGATGAGTCCATGTTCAAACCTGGAGAAGTCCATATTCAAGTGTTCCCCAAGACACTTGTAAAATTATCTGAAGATATACATGTGCTCCATTTGACAAACCCGTCGATGCTGTCCAAGACTCAAACCCACCACGTTGTCGTGCTGCAAGGTGACGGCCAAAGTACCACCTTCGAGCATTGTCCTGAGGACGTCTGCCATGGGTTGGGTGAGCGAGTTATATACTATATCAAGTTGCTTACCCAATATTATTGGTTGGGAGTTGACAAAGACGTATATATTCAGTATACTTTGGGGGCCAAGTTGAAGGGACCTATAAGCATGCTTTTGGGTCTCTTCAAAATTGACAATGCACTACATTATCTACTAGTTTCTTTTGGTGGTACCTAGCAAAGGAGTGCCTGGTAGGCATCTTCAATAAATAATATTGGCATCGGATAATGTTGCCAAACTAACAACACTAAGTACTCAAAATCACAACCGAGAAGCCACAGTAGTTTTCTTCTTCAGCAACTTGGCAACTGATTTGGAAAATCCAACTGAATATGCACCGCTCGCTTTCAGGCACTTCCCACCTGTCACTTGGACACGTCCATCGGCCAAGTATTTTTTCGAGTACATACCGACTGACGAAGACTGTAGTGACTGCTGAGCTTTGCGAGGAAGCTTTGCAGTGAAGTCTTCTAGCATTGGCCTGGGAACATGTATTGCCCACCACAATCAGTTGATTTGTGGATTTGCATGGCGCAACATACTTGCAACTTAGGTGGGGTGCACTGTTGACTGGCAATTTTCCTTTCGGGTTGGCAGGACCAAAAGGAAAATTGCCACTGGTGACAACCATACATTCTTGTGTTGTGTGAAAAATATTACACAGCTATGCTTCCATATGGTGGACAACAAAAAACAATTATAAATCTATTTGTCTCTCTAGATTCAACATCCAAGCCACCAGGAACCCCAGAGTTGGCTCGGCTTTGCTGCCCAGTGCCCATATGCTCCCATCCACGTGCGTTTCATGAAGTTTGGGCCCACTGATGTTAGCACGTGACTGATATATGGGCACTCCTTCAAGCACGAGCTGGATGGCTGCTCAGCCTCATCGCAACGTTCCACGAGAGTTTCTAACAGTAACGGTAACAGACTTTGAGGAGTTTATCAGGAGTTTTTTTGGAGTTCAGAATCCCCTAAAGACGTTGGACACATTGGTCCGATTCAGCATAGTAAAGACAAAGCTTGGAGCACTAATCAAACCAAATCTCACACCAGTAGCAGTTTCGAATCACCGCCACCATGCACAAAAGCGCCACCCGAGCTGCAATAATATTGCCAGAAGCCACAGACTCCACACCCTCGTCACCCATGATCCCATGGTTAGAACTTGTCCTTTTGGTTGTCGATGAAGACATAAATACCCAACTTGGCAGGGGCCCAAGATTCGATCTAAACAAATTGTGTTGGAACCAGTCTTCCACGATTGCAACGAGCATCCACTAGCCTACCAAAAACAATACGTCGTTTTCTCAATAGTAATGGTGTCCTACCTGTTGCAAGGAACCCCTAGCCACAGCTGACCATTGTAACGTAGCCGCAGCACACCCTTGAGCACCAGCATGAACCCTTCAGGAGTCATGATGTCGTGGAGTTTACCCTTGGTGATGTCAGAGGTGCGCACGTCAAACCCGGCGTCACCTGGGAAGGGAGCGACAAACAGCTATTTGGTTGTTTTCTCGAAGTCCCATCATTAATCGATACATATTTTGGGATGCCGGGGTTTCATGTAAAACATTTAGCCTGGTGTCAAAATACACCCGTCTAAGCTTTGCACGACACTGTCGTCCCAGCTCCCCATGTCCACTGAACAGCTCAAAGACGTCAAGGTCCTAGCCGAAGAGTACAGCGAGAAGCTGTGTTCACTTACAGCCCCAGGGTAAGGAAACAAGCTGTTGGCTAGCGGCTAGAAGGCTCACAAGTTTCCCGCATCCCAATGTCCCGACTCCACTCACTGTCGGCCACTGTCAACTGCTGCGAGATGTAGTCCCAACAATGGAGCCTAAGATGTTGGAAGCTAGCAGCAAAAGGTATCGTGCACAGGTTGTTTGGTCACCACTGCACATGAGTCACATGAGCATTAAACCTTACAAACTCCAACTTGTACTTGTTTATCATAGCTCAGACCAGCTGCAAGAGTACAGGTGCGCCATGGAAGAGGAGTAAGGCAGCTTTTCGTTTCGTCAATCCAAAAGCCATTGCCGGGGGTCAATACAGTACTGGCCAGGGACCTAGTGACAAAGCCTCTGCTGGAGCAGAAGAAACGTCATTTGACATGTGAGTTCATATATATCATATCATCATTCCACATGAAACGAACTAAAATAGAACTTGATGGCAAGCTGGAGTGTAGACATGAAGAGGCCACACTTGCAACCCAATACACATTTTTCTTTCACGCGGTACTCCTACCCATATGGTCTGAAGTGCTGGCTTGCGATTAATCTCAGCAGGCGTGGCCACAGTATGTGGGAAGACCACATACATCCCCAGCAGGGTTTCCAACATATGTTGTAAATATGTGATGTAAGATATATATTTTCCCTGCAGCCTGCACATAGCCTAGTCAGACCAAATCAAAGTGCGCTAAAATTCAAAATTGTCAAATCCAGCCAGCTAGTTTCTGGCCCAAACTGAAAGATTCAAACCACCCGCCCCGCTTCTTGACACTAATGGTGCAGCCTCGCTTGCGATTGACCGTAAGGCTATCAGGAAGATGCTTTTCCGAGATCACCTTGTTCACGTAGATCTGCTCAAGGGTCCACCTCAATTTTGCAGAGGCTGACATGAAGATTCATGCAGTTAATTTACACTGTATAGTTTCCAGACCCAACCCTGAGAATCAGTGCATACATGCAAAACTTGAGGAGACCCTTTGTTGCTGCAACCTAGTGACAAGATTCCCATAGATGAAGCACCCTCGGCGGCATCATGTGGTGGTTTGATCGAGAAACTCTTCCGCTTCCCTGCATCATCCGGGATAGGCGCACCAGCGTTCACCAGTTCTGGCTCCTGTACAGCGACTGGACTGATTGGGGAGGGGTCAGGTCGTGTTGGCTAAGAGCATGTCACCCTTTATTAATAAACGTTTGGGGTCCCAGGACATCTGTGGGTGATATGTTTTGCTCTCCTTGGAAGCCCATAGGTCAGCAAGTCCATCATCCCGGCCATGCCCAGCATTTGCATTGCCAGCTTTGTGTCCAGAGCTTTGAGGTTCCACCGGTACCGGAGCATCATCGTCAGCCTTTGAGGTTTCTTCTGGTTCCTCAGAAACCTTTGGTTTCCCTGCAGCACGAGCACGACCCTTCCCACGACCCTTTCCAGGTTGGTTCTTATTCTTGAGCTTTTTCTGTACTTTCGGATCGTTTTGGGCCCTTTCAAGAACCTTTTCAGCCGAAAGAACCTTTGCCGCTCTAGACCTTGTCAGCTGGGCGGTGTAGGGGTCATTGGGGCCCTCCGTTGTTTCGACGAGTGTCTCGGCAACCTTCTCAAGATCGGTCCGGGCTTCTGGTTGATCTTTCTCAAGAGGTGAACGATCCTGCCAATCAAGCGGGTAGGGTTTTGGTATTTATACTTGTAGTGCAACTTTGGAATTCTGATCGCATGTCTACCATGAGGTTTTCAGAGTTTGCATTATTCACTTGGATCGGCCGTCAAAAAAGAACACCCATATGTTTTCTTTTGGGTTGGCCAGGGGCAGGGCCAACCCGAAAGGAACATTGTTAGGTTACATAATAAAGCTGGCTCAAAGGGCTTGTAGCTAGGCCCACATCACCATCACCCCACTCCCATGCGACAAATGAAACAGAGATCCAACTTGTTTTTTGTGTGTTGCAGTCCTTCGCTGCTTGGCGCCGCTCACCATCCACATGCTTCGGCAATTCTGTGCCCTAGGTGGGTCGGGCTCATGTAGACCCTCCTCGACCATCTTGACCAGCTCGTCCACTTGTGTCTCGAAGTCATCAGGGCAAGCCTAGTTGGGCGGGCATATGGTATTGTAGGCAATCCACCAAAAATCAAAATATATACAAATTCTGAAAGCTTTCTTTATGCAACACATAACAAATAAACAAATAATTATGTTTCAAACTCAAGCCACAGTGGCTGTGGGTTTGCCACCCTTGGGTTCAGCTTCGGGAGGTGGAGATGCACTGGAAGAGGGGGTGCTTGCTTGGCCATCTGATTCCTCCAGCGCATTTGGATGGCCACATGATTGGTGAATATGGGTGGTGTTCTAAATTTAGATAAATAACTAAATTTTATTGCTGAACCATCCACTAGTGCATAGTCGCAGGTATTCTATATTCTTTAAATGCTAAGACTTTGGCACATGGCACACTTCTCCTGTGCAATTGCCGCTTGCAGCGCAAAATCCAAACATTCGCAAGGGTCAGTGCCAACTGCACAGGGGTCACACAGCACATCACATGAGAAAAACATATTCCAAACCATTCCAACACGCATGTTTAGATCCACCCATGTGCACTGTTGCCTGCACTGCGTAGATCCATCACAAATTGCTTCAGAAAGGACACCCTGCTGGATCTTGATTTGGCAGATCGCTTGCATAGCTGCAGGGCATGCACAAGCATGCAGCGCAAAACTGAAGCCTCATGATTAGCCCAGTCCTTTCAGGGGTAGGCCATGACAGTCTCTATATATGCATGTACGCATAGTCAAACCAAACTAGTTGACAGAGCAGATATTTGTGGGTCTTCCTGCACTTGCTTCCCATTCCACATGAATCTAGGCACACATAGACACTGATCAAAACCATCCCTATTATTGTTGTGTTTTGATTCTTGAGGAAAACGTCCATGATTTATGCGTCACAAGAGGCAAATACAAATCACTAGGTTTAAATCCAACAAGTCCTTGAGATCACGGCCTTTCACCTTCAGGCCCAAGATTGCATAGCGCTTTGCCAAGGTGATGAGCACCTCCTGGCAAATCTGATGGGGCAGCAGTGAGGGAGGGTGGTGTGAGTGGGGGCCGGTGGATCACCATGTCATATCGACAACCACAAATGTCCTGATGCATCTTCAGGCCAGGAACCATCAAGTTCATCGAAGCAAAGTACTGCATGGCCAACTCGCAGTGCATCTCAACCTTTCTGGCATGGAGAATATAGGTGTATCCCCTCTCATTTCGTGACTACATACTCAGTTGTGTAAAAAAGCAATTAAACAACAACACTGGTACATGAACATCAGCAGCTAAGCAGCCATTTCCACAGACGCTGGGCCTTCCTCGGGCTTCTCAAAAAGAGTCTTGGCACCTGGCTGCTTGCGCAAGTGTTCCAGCTTCTTTAGGACATAGTCATTGAGAATGTCCTGCAGGCACATCCAACTCACGGGTACCTATTGGCACGTGAGCCCCAACCCATTTTGGTGACCTTTTTTGTCGCTGAATGATTAAGTACTAGTTTTTCTTTAGGCGATCAACGGATTACAATATTGTCAATGCAGGATTTCTTCATGGTGTGTGTGCATATACATCTTGGTTGAGTCTGAACAGGGTCTCCTCCAACACTGCTGTTTGCATTGCCAGCATCCTGTTGTACCCTGCCACCATCGCCAAAGCACCAAAGTGATAATTTTATCACCAAGATCCAAAATGAGCTGCTGACCGAGCAAGCAAGTTGTTTAGACTTCAAAATCACACGCATGCTCGAGTTCTGACTCGCACACAAAGACAGCTAGCACAATAAGTAAAGTCTGTCTAGATCAATATGCCCACACAGTTTTAGTGTTCGGAAGAAGATTACATACTGAAATGACCCTGACGATCCGTGCGTACACAGAATTAGAACTGCATGCAGAATAGAACCGCCAAAGCTTTCCCAGGGTGGGCGCACCTCCCCAGTGTTGCACAAGCCCACCAGTAGTTGTGGTGGTTGTGGCTGCAGCCGCACCAGCCCGTCGTTGTTGTTGTTGCTCACGGTGAAGAGCCAGGGCCCGCTTCATGAACCCCCAGAAGCGATAGGCGCCCAATCAAAACCCAACAACTCGTGAAACCATCGGAAACTGACTTGACCACATGGAACAACTGATGGGACTAGGAGTTGCCAGTGTTAATCGTGACATCATGTTCATCACACTGCACTGTTTCCTGAGATCATCCTGAAATTCCATACTCAAGAGCCACAGAAAGTACTACCAACCCAGGTCCGACAGAGTTCGACAAAGGGATTCCGACAATGTTATCAAATCATGCCAACGTTAGAAATGTGCTTGGATTCTGCATGCATTTCTAGTTTTAACTTATATGCGTGCACGGATCCTCAGGGACTTATATACAGCTGAATCATAGGTGTCCCAGGCCAAGGTGACCACAGTTTGGCCAAGGCATGAATCCTGCAGCAGCTTGGAGTAGGCAACACCAAACACGTCAAACATCATCCAACAATGTAGAAGAGAAGTGACAAGAGCTCTGTCTGTACTAAAACCAGATGTCCTGGATGTCTTCGTTCGCGGGGGAATATGTTTGGGTAATTTATTCAGTGGGCCTTACACAGGTGTCCTTGTTTCAAGTCTCAGATCAAAACAGGAGTTCGGTCAACAGTGAAAGTGAGATAATTTGGGACCATCCCTTTCCAGGAGCAGGTTGAATAAGTGTCTGAAGATCGGTGCTGTCAGACCTCCAACTGAAAACACCGAGCCACTGTGAGCAACAACAAGGGAAAGGGATCAACTTGCCCTGTTGATGTTTGTTTCAAGACCCCACACCTTTTGATGCCGCCCTCCATCAAAAAATAACCAAGTATAGATGCCGCATTGATTGTTGTGACACCGCCAAATAAAGTACCGGGTCCTTCTAGGTTTTCTTAATTCTTTATGTCACTTTCTGGTAGCTGGAGCTGTAGAAAGGAAGACGATCGAACACTCGAAGTTCCAATCGAAGATCGGTCGAAGCGATGCCCACGAAGTCAGCGCTCCCTATTTTCCATCATGGCTTCAAGTCGTGCGCAGTTCCCACCCCTGACGGTGGTTCGGTTTGAGCCCATTGGGCATTCATGAAACAAATACCATGCTTCTCCAAGGCATGGTGGCACATGATTTCTTCAAAATCAACATCGGTGGTTGTTTCGACCAAATTAGTCCACAATCCACTCTTCATACGAGCACCTGCCTTCTTCTCTCACAAACTCTTGAAAATCTTCGTGCAAGGTGGTGCCGCTCACAGAATTTGTAACAAAAGGCGTCTGAGCGCCTGGGCCACAAAAACTACAGGCGTGTCGTCTCACAACACGGCCGGAGCGGGAAGTGCCGCGACATGTCTCTTCAGCATGCCAGGCGGCTCCAAAAGGTGTGGTCACCACTCCATGCTCAAGCGGGCAGTCTTCAAGGTGCCCTTGGATCTCTCGGAAAGCTCTGGTGAAGAGCGCACAGCTGCGACGGTGCCGGTCGTTGAGTTCTGCTAGTTCATCTTGGTCGGCATGGTTTTCTGCCAACACAGCATCGTTCTCCGTGCGCAAAAACTGGTTGCGCGCGGTCAGCTCTGCAAGGCGCTCTTCGAGCTCACAAACCTTCTCCACATGTTGGAGATGAAGATCTCTCAGCTGGTCCTTCAGGGCCTGCTCATGCCTCTCATGTCGACCTGTCGTCACCCGGATTGGGGTGTTGACCAAGTTGCGCCAATGGCGGCGCTCGAGGAACCTGACAAACTTGTAGGTGGCAAAGCTCAGAATCGCTGAGAAGAGCATGGGGAGCGTGCAGAGTACAGTCAAAGGCGACCAAAAATACTCTTGCTCAACAGGGCACGCGTCAACGTCCAAGGCCTGGATGAAGTTGTTACCAGCCAACACAGCTTTGACCTGGGTGTAGCCAACCAAGGCTGTCAAGGGAATCTTCGATGAGGAAGGTGTGTTGTTCCACGCCACTGCTTGAACCGGAGTCCGTTCAAGGTCATCGAACTCCTGTTCTGCTTGTGTGGTGTTGTTTGTTGTGCTTGTTTGTGGTTTGTGGATTGTGGATGTTGTTATGGTTCTCTTCTTGCTATGCTCTTTTGCGAACTCTTGTTTGCTCTTGTCTCTCTCTTCTTTCGTTTTCTTCTTTGCGCTGACATAGCTGGGGTCCCAAACCAGTTTGATGCGACCATAGCGCAAACGATCAGCCAGCAAAGATCTCGTGCTTGTTTTGGTGAGTCCATCGGCGTATTGCCGTTCGCTAGAGACCCAGCGCAAGTTGCCACCCAGCTCGGTCATCTGCTGTTTTGCTACCCGGATTACCAGGTATGTTCTTTTGTCAACTGAGGAGCTGGTTGAGGAGGACTCCTTGTGGAATGCATCGTACAACGCTTTGGCGTCCGTGATCAATGTTGGACACAAACTTGACTTTTCTTGAAGGCGATCACGGAGGTCCATGTTGGGGTTCATGACGCAAGACCAAAATCGAGCTATGTATTCGCTGGCGTCTGATGCTTGTCCTGCGGCTTGGGCTTCAGCACTGAGACTGCTTCTCGCCACACGTGGCAGTTTGAACGATCTCCAATCAACAACGTGGTAGGAGGTCTCTTCATGGAAGACAGTGTCGGGCGTGATGAAGGCGATGAAGCCTCCTTGAGAAGAATGGTCTTCCCTCACTGCATGCGCTGCATCAAACATCACACTCAGTCGAGCCTTGCTGAGGTCTTGCCAAGAGTGAATGGACTCGAAGGGCTCATAGCGCAAGGTGATGTCGCTATTCTCCGTTGCAAAGCGAAGTAGAGAGTTCCCTTCGACAATGGCTCTCAGCTTGTTGGTCTTCTGCTGTCCACTGATGAGGCCCGCACTGCATTGGAGGTGTGGTTGCGATTGAACAGCTGGCCACTGAAGGCTTCCCAACAATGCACGAAGTTGTGATCGATCATGTTCATTCATTTCATCTTCTGGTCCACGACCTCGGTGTATGGTCACCGGTTTGACTTTCTGGATGAAGTTCTTCTGAGAGAGGGACCAGGCAAAGTCGGAGCGATTGTGGGTCACTCCGCAGTACTCCATGGTTTCAGAGTCTTCTTGCCAGGTTCGAAAGTCGAAGATCTCCTTGAGTCGGCCTTCGGCAGTCAAGTAGGTTTGACAACTGCGATCTCCAGCACCAAGCATGTCATCAACGTGTAGACAGATCATACCACAAGGTCGAACTGTACCGCAGGGTTCTTCTTGGTGCAGTGTGAAAAGGCAAGGATCAAGCTCATGAGATCGCCAACCTTCTTGGGTGAGCCGACGTTTGGCTTCAAGCCACCAGCGTCTGGGTGCATCAAGTTGTCCGTACACGGGCTTGATCAGGGCCATGCGACTTTCGGGTTGACATCCCAAGATGGCATTGCAATCTGCCGGAAGACGAAGCCATAGTTTCCTCTGTTGTGGCAATCCCTGCAAGAAGGCAGTTGCAACATCAGCTGACCAGCCATGCCAACGAAGCATCGCTGAAATGCTCAAAAGGAGTGACCTGGCTAATCTCGAGGCGGTAGGGCTTGCAGTGTCAAGCTGTCCGGACAATGCATCGATGTCATTGTAGCCTCTGACCACCAGGCGTGCCTTGGCTCTCGGACTGCCATCAGCATTCTTTGACCACTTCAAAAGCATCCTGCTCGTCAACGTTCGATCAGGATCAGCCTCAGAGGTTGAGGAGAACTCCCAAACACCATTCTCCAAGAAACTCTTCAGCTCCTTGCACTTGGCCTCGTAAAACAGTTGGAGCTCAGCTGAATTGAGATTCTTTTCACGAACTTCACCTTTATCTTTCTTCACCTGCCGGATGTGATGAGTCTTAGCTGCTTGGGCTGCCTTTCTCACAAAGCGCATAGATGTCGCTGATGTGGTTGTAGATGATGAAGTCATGCCCCACTCTTGTCGTTTCGCGGCAGTGATTTGAAAGATGGTCTGACCAATCCATTTCTTTGGAACAGGTGCAGCGTTCTTGGAGTTCTTGGTGCTTTTGAAGATGCTCTCGGTTTTGAAGTGGTTCGTCACCGAGTGAGGATTGGATCCTGGCTCCCGGTAGACCGTCACTTGCACATCATCGAGGTCTTCTACAGGAACTGGTAGGTCTCGACGGTCTCGGATGTCGAAGAGCTTGGATCGTGGATTCACGTGGTGACGAATGAGACAGCCACCTTTGATTTCCCAGAAGTCTTTCAAGGAGCTCTTCAGTTCCAAGGTTTTGGTGTCCTTCTGAAAGATCCATCCAGGTGGAAGGGAATCTGCATCAAGATCCTCAACTTCAAAGACTGTCTCGGCATTCTCTGGCTGAGGTGGCTTCATGTAGGGAGTCATTGAAGCACGTGCTGTTCGTTGTGGACCAAAGGACATAGTTTCCTGTCGATCAAGACGCATGCGCTGCTGCTGGAAGGTCTCTGGTTTCTCGGGCTTCTGAAATGCAGCCTGAGTGAGGAGCAGCTTCAGAACTTGCATGCGGTGTTGGTGGAACAGGTTCAGCAGAAGGTTCCGACTCCATGTCGCTGATCTCTGGTACTGCAGGTAGTGCTGAAGGAGGTAGAGCTAGATCAGCGGGAGGTCCAGAAGGTTCTGTTGCCGGAGGCTCTGGGTCTTCATGTTCTGCAGGAGGTCCAGGTAGATCAGGAGCACTCGCTGGTTCCACAGGAGTCATATGAAAGTCTTCATCTGGAATGGACGGAGTGTAGTCCTCAATCTCCTGCGGTAGTTCATCAAGCCGACGTCTTTTGGAGTCAGGCTCATCAAGGTCTTCTTCATGTTCATCAACGTCGAGGAGATTCTGGCGGTTGACCTTGTCCAAGTCGATGAAGCGGGTGACTCCACGAGACTTCAAGGATTGAAGAACACGATTTGCATCTGCAAGGTTCTCAACTGCCGTGTTCTCGAGGTGGTTGAACTCTGGTCTCACATGGTGAGGAGCTGCTCGGATGAGTTGAGTTTTGTGAGCCAACCAATAGACATATGGCATGCCGTCTTTCTCCTCCACGCAGACCACTTTTGCAGGACCACGCCACCTGATCTTACACAGATCGTTTTGTTGAGCGTCTCTCCAGTAGTGGCAGATCTGTCCAGGTAGAAGACGTTGGTTTGTTCCTGCATACCTCCTCAACAGTGCACGTCTCAAACGACGATCGGTGTCCGCCTGGATGATGGCGGTCTTTGCCATGTTGCGTCGATGTAGATGTTCTTCAAAGTCATCGGAGGTCTTCAGTGCACAGTCAGCTGAGGAGAGCAGTCCGGGTTGCGCAGGCTGATAGCCAAGTACCCACTGCGTTGGAGAGTAGCCAGACACGGTCGGCTGAGCATTGAGCTGAGGCAAAACATAGGCCAGGGCTTGTTTGACGCCATCACGATCTTCGAGGCTCAAATCATGCATGTAGACCTCGAGGGCTTTTCTCAAAACGGAGTGGCGTCTTTCAACATGTCCAAGGCGCTCATGCGCTTCGCCAGGTGCCACGTTGTGAAGGATGCTATGCTCATCAGTCCATTGCCCAAACTCATCGCTGAGCCAACCACGACCTTCATCAGTGATGAGCTGCTGAGGAACACCAAAGTGTGCTACCCAATGTCGTTCAAGGGCCTTGATGTAGTCCTGAGTGCGTTCACTGTCCAACAAGGCTGCTGCTTGAAATCGAGTAGCAACATCAAGGATGGCCAGGATAGGCATCTTCTTCTTACCCAGCTTGATCCAGAAAACGTCGCTCTGCGCGACCTGGTTGAAGTGCTGTGCCTCCTTGATCGATGCAGGTGCTGCTTGATTTGGCTTCTTGTAGCGCAAGCACGAAGAACACAAGTAGTTCTCAGCAACGGAGAGGACTGTAGCACTCGCTCCACGGGCCGTGAGAAGATCGACCAAGGACTGGGCGGATGGATGCCCAAGATTTCTGTGCAGCTTTTGGACCACTCTCAAAGCTTCTTGTTTTCCTTCAGCATGAAGATCGACCAGTTTGCCCAGGTATGACTGCATCTCTTGGACGGCGAAAGCGCCATCCCAAGCTTGAGGTCGTTCACATGCACTGATTGCAGTGCCCAGAACAGCTGCAAAGGCAGGTTGGTAATCTTCCATGTAGGAGGTTCTCTTGCCAATGCCTGGGATGTGTCCTTCAAGGCGACAGTGTTCATGACTATGGTCACATAGGAGGTTCATGCTTTCAGCCACAGCTCGTTTCGTGGTGCGAATGGTTGCGTCCTTCTTGGCGGGCCGCCAAACTCCATCAGTATCACAGCAAACGCAACCATAGCGACATTGATGAAAACGAGCATTGTGACCTGGAAGGTGCTTCAAGGCGTTGGTGCTCCATGAGAGTGCTTGAGTTGGTTGTTCAAGATGTGCATGGCGTCCATGTTGAACTTGCTGCAAGTATGCTTGTTTGCAAAAGCCAAGGTGTACACGATGGTGCCATTCACGAAGAGTGTACAGCGCTTCTTTTCTCTGCTCAGTAGTGGCTGAGATGTTTTGCATCTTGCTCCATGGACCACATGATGGAGACAAGAACAGCTCATCAGGTTCTTCTTCTTGGAGGCGCTGCGTGAACAATGCACGGTGGCTTGCCAAGCTGAAGTTCCAACCAGTGGCGAAGGAGAAGACTTCGACCTTCATGCCCAATGCTTCGGCCAGTTGCGAGAGTCTGCTTTTGCCAGCATAGACTTCCCAAAGAACTCGAGGTGGTGGATGGCCTTCTTCACGAATCACATTGTCCACATAGGCATGAAGTCGGTTCAGCTGAGTCTGTGAGTTGGAAATCAGCGTTTTCCAGCGCTTCATTGGCATTGGAGACCCTTGGTCCTCAATGGATTCTTCGACCTGGTAGATGTGCTCTTCAGTGAGAAAGTCGTCGAAGGTGCCGGGATCGCCAAGAGTTTCTTCAAGCTGTAGGTCGAAGCTTGGCTCCATTGACAACTGATCGCTGTCGAAGGTGTCCGTGAGAGCCAGGAGGTATTCCTCGTGCTTGCCAAGAACAGCTTGTTGCCACGGGTGATCACCAAACTTCAGACGCTGCTGCGAGAAGTCAATCGTCATCTCCAGAGCTTGGATGACAGGTCGTCCGATCAACATGGGCGTTTCACCCTTCAGAACAAATCCTTGCACCACTCCATAGGTGTTGTTGATGTAGAACGGAAGCTTGCAGGTCCATGTGCTGACCTTTTGGTGGTCTCCTCCAAAGTGGAAAGTCCGTTCACAGCGGTTCAACTGGAGGTCATTGGTGTCGAAGCCGAGCTGCTTCAGGTGGTGCACATACCGGATGAGAGGTCCACTGTTCATGAGGAAGCTCGATGCTCCAGGGTCTAGCATGGCACAGTCAGGTCGTTCACGTCCATAGGAATCCTCAAAGATGACCATGGACTGCTCATCTGCAAGTGTGGCAACACTCTCAACTGCTTGACGCTTGCCAGAACCAGTTGTTGAAGGCTTTGGAGTGCTGGACTGAGCAGTACATTGAGCCGTTCGGTGTGCAGTTGAGCCACATCGCACGCAGGCAGGAGCCAAAGCGCTTCGAGCACGACCTTTGGGATCAGCTTGTTTGTCAGGAGGCTTGTTGTAGCGGTAGGTGCTGCTTTTGCCTTTTCCCTTGGACTTGCCCCTTTTGCCCTTTCCAAAGCCAGAACCATATCCCTTGCCGAACTGAGGTCGAGGTGCTTGAGATGAAGTTGCTGTCGAAGATTGGTCCTGCAGGGCCACGATGGGCAGGAAACCCCTGCTCATCTTGAGGTCGTTGAACCTCTTGCGGGCGTCCGTGTAGGTGGCATAGGCCTCGTCATACTCGGAGACATCAAATTCACCATCATGCTCTTGGATGTCGCACTCTTCTTGGAAGTAGGCGGCATCATCATCAAATTCATCATACCATTCATCGACCTGCTCATCGTCAAGGTAGTAGGTGCCCTCATCCTCGGGTTCCCACTCAACGGATGGGTTGTCCCAAGTGAGGTCAACTGCGTTGTCCTCACCAGCGAAGTAGCCTCGACCCTTGCCGGTCGAGTTGAAGGGGCGCTGCCAACGACTGTTGACAGACTGTCCGCCACCTTTGTAGTCTTGGCCCAGGATTGCATACATAGCTTGTTGGACTTTTGCGCGTTCAAGGGACGCAGATTGCGTCATGATCATCTGCTTTTGCTCACGAGTCAGGCCAGATTTGGCCAGGAGGTGCCAGCCTTGCACGGTGTCCGGAAGTTTCACTCCGTGCTTCTCAACTTGTTTCAACTTGTCATCATGGTCGGTCACAAACTGGAGGAGCGTCTGACCCTGCCGCCGTTGGAGGTGCTCAAAGTATGCGGAAAAGTCCGCAGGAAGCTCAACCTTGCTATCATAGCGAAAGGCAGAATCAAGGCGGGTCAGGATGTGATCCAGTGCTTTGTCGTTCTCTGCTTGTTCGATGTCAAAGTCCTCGCATAGTTTCCAAGCGGTGCCGCTTAGCGAACCAAGCAAGTTCAGAATGGCCTCGCCTTGGCGCTTGCTCAAACACATCTTTTTGTAGTAAATGAGAATCCTCTTGCGCCATTCACGGTAACCGAACAAGGGGATGTAGGAGTCTCGGGCTGACACAAAGTCAAGGTCAGCCTTCTTTTCCTTTTCGGCCGTGGCCATCGTTCAGGACGATGGACGTCCCACAGCCGCACTGCGTGAACTCACCTGCCAGGGAGACAAGGACAAAGGTCTCGTCAGGCAAGAAGAGATGGATGTAGTTGTAGTTAGTGGAGGTTATGTTGTATGTGTAGGTTGTGTTGTAGCGAAGTGGCGCGGGAGCTCCCTGGATGGGAGCTCCCAATGTCACTTTCTGGTAGCTGGAGCTGTAGAAAGGAAGACGATCGAACACTCGAAGTTCCAATCGAAGATCGGTCGAAGCGATGCCCACGAAGTCAGCGCTCCCTATTTTCCATCATGGCTTCAAGTCGTGCGCAGTTCCCACCCCTGACGGTGGTTCGGTTTGAGCCCATTGGGCATTCATGAAACAAATACCATGCTTCTCCAAGGCATGGTGGCACATGATTTCTTCAAAATCAACACTTTACAAATTCTTTAGGCGTTGAATGACCATCAGGGGCCTTAGGACAGTTTCGGTTTGGAGTCTGGAGAATTGTTTCCCAGTAGCGATTGCTTTCAAAGGTTTAAGAGCATCGTCAAAGCAAACCCGGAACGGATCCCACTCTTGTTGTAACGTTTGAGCCTTTGAGCACGTATCCAAAACAAGCCAGCAACAGATCACTGTAGTTTCCATGTAATGACCGTTTCAATAGCTCAAGCCACAAGCCGAACAAGAAATTGAATTGTCTTAATGCTTGAACATTGCATCACTAGCATCACAATCTGCAACAACGGAGACATCACTCGCATCATCACCGCAACAGAAGTGAAACAGCCTTGCCTGCTGGTGGTTTCATCGTACTGAGTAGAGGAGAATGTTTCACAAAAATATTGTTTCTTGGAACAATACATGAGTGTTTCGGAAACCTTAAGAAACCAATTCCCCGCGCATGATCTCCTCAGTGGACCAAGTTCTGTGACCCTCCGCTGTCTTGTAGCGAGGATGGTCTTCCTGGCAAATGGATGCTCAACTATGGAGAGTGTCATTGTTGCAGCGACTGTACTAGCACCTTACGTATATGACCTTAGTGATCCATTGTGAGACGCAAGCCAAGATTAAGGTGTGAACAATGCGCAACACAACGCACGCCCGGAAGTAAACGTTAGACTGTAGAAACAATCGCAGTTGCAAGGCACGGTCACGGTACTGTTGGACAATTTAACTAAAAGTTTGAAGTTTGTGTGCAAGAAAAGAGCAAGAAAAGGCGACCAGCTATGTGCCTATGTCGCAAAATGATCAATTTGCTGGTGTTTGTAGTGCCTGTTGAAGCTGCTCCAACATCGTCATGTCTCGCTCTGGGTCATCCTCATCAACCTGGACATCAAGGGGATGGCTATGCCTGCAAATGATGGTGAGTGGATATGAAATGATATGAACGGGCATGAACGGAGGATTTGTGTTCACTTCCATGTTAGAGATGCAGCTGCAAATCATAGCAAAAACAAAGTTGCAAATAAAGGAATCTAGAAACAGTCAATGTCCGAAAGGACTCCAAAGTGCAGGCAGGGCCACCAGAACTGAAGAATCAGAATAGGGACGAATAGGGTATCAGTCGGGTATCGGTAGGGGTATCGGTGATCCTCAAGAAATGCAAAGGGACTACCTTTTCGAACATACATACCAATGCCATCACGCATGTTAACTGTTAGAGGGTATCGGTTTTGGGTAGGCCCCTATCGGTTTTGCAGTCAAATCACTTCTTCAGTCCAGCCGAAGACTACTGCTTACTTCTATATATATAGTTGTCTTGTCGGGCACTCATATAAGAAGCAAAACCAATGACGGTCAATAACAAGACGAACGAGGCCCAAACTTCTTCTTCTTGGTCAAGGGCTTCTGCGGTATTTTTCACCACGCCCAAGACGGTGAAGAGGGATCTGACAAGGTTGTCAAGAACTGAGTCAAAGCCCTTTGGACACAAACAATGCGCTTTTCACTTAAAGAGCGAGTATTGCACGTAAATATGTTAAATATATAGATCTACTGTAAATATCATGTCAAAAAAGGTCTGAAAACAATTTGCATAGGACCAGGATTGTTGGAGTCCAACTCCAGGTTCAATCAGCATCGACATGACGTAGCTCATTTTTGCAGGATGTTCCCACCTCCTCCTCATGCTCCTGGCTTCCATTTGTTGAGGTTCTTCCTCCTTCTGTGGCTTCTTCTTCGGAGGCTTCTTGGGCTCAGCCCACACAAAGTACTTCCTGCCAACATGTCACACACAAATGCAAACATGTGCTGTAGAAGCATGGAGAAGCTTCAGTTCGCTTGTCGAATCATGCAGTCACGTTCTTTGATCATGGAGAAGAGAAATTCCAGTACATTCAATTGATACAGTACAAACACCGAAGTTTGACGAATTGGGATAATGTAACCAAGAGGCTGATGGTGCCGCTCACCAAGTCTGAGGTGTTGTTCTTGCTTGTACAGGGCTCTTCGCGCTGGGTCAACTCTTGCAAGGACTGTCTTTGCCTGTATTTGTTTATTTTTTCCTTTCTGCTCGTAGTTGCAGTGGAAGAGGATCTTCCGATCTTCGTCAAGAATGCTTGGGGATGCTGAACATTGGTACTGTGAAATCCATCCCTGAGTAGCTTCATTGATGTAATTATGCAATTACTCCAATATTGACATACACATCGATTCGTTGGTCTTACAACTTTCTCCACTGAATCCCTACAGACATGCCTCTTGAATATTGTCTGCGCCCTGAGCCACCCATTGAAATCAATGGATCTTACTCTTGAGAGTCTTGTGAAAACTAGAGTATACTCCGTTCTCCTCTGATCCTTGGCCGGCACACCGTCGTTCGGCCATGCATCATCTGTCCTGAGTTTCTCCTGCTTTTCCGGGTCACCACCTCAGTTGAGGGACATAACTAAAGCTTGGAAATGAGCAATTCAATCATGCCCTCATCATGGAGTAACACGACCAGTACACAAAATATGTTTGCAGCTTGTCACCTACAACCACACACCGGCTTTGTTCAACTAGAGAACTTGGAAGACATTCAGTTGCTTTGCTTGAGGTATACACGGTCATCGCGGTAGCCTTCCCAGGCCTTTTCCGTCAACGTTTCATACCTCAGACTGCGAAAAGGCACGCAGAGCTTGTGGTAGTACTGTGGTAGTTTTTGGATCACCATCTTCTTTTTCTCTCAAGCGCACAAGCTATAAGACAAGTAATCTTCAAAATGAGCAATGTGACTATGGCATAATGGGGCATTATACACTGGAAACAAACCATCGCATCCGCCGTTGCAAGCCTTGGTGAGGTGCCTATACAGGTATCATTGTCATGTGGTGCCTTAGCGCATTGCTTCAGCAATTCTTTTGGAACAAGCAAATATAAATATCCACACATGATTAATACAATAACTTTGCCTGTGCATGTTGACTTCGATAAGACCCACTGTGGAGCCTACGCGAATCTGGCTTCGCATGCCTTTGAGCATGCACAAAGCTCTAAGAACTACATTCGCAGGCAAATATGCAGTTCCACTTCCATATGAAGCCTTGCATACCAATACAATAACAATGCTCAAATGATTGCAATTGTCAGGAGAAGAACGCCATCCTTTCTTCCAAACCTTCCTGTAACTGTAACTCATCTCAAAGTCTGGGATCAGAAGGAACATTGGCAAATCAATGACCGCGAGCTGGAGCAACAAGCAAAACGCCAGATTCACCAATACGAGAAATCCAATCAGGCTTCTTTCCGGGGCCAAGCTTTCTCAAGGCCGTCACATTGCAATGACTTGAAGCCCGCGCAATTCAAAAAACCTCCCCAAGGGTCTGTACTGCAAGGGTGTGAACACATGAACGATCTTGCTTGATCTGAAGCCATGATGTCCAACGAAATGATGCAAAGTGACTGTGCATCTCCCCTTGCCACCATCACTTTCTACCTTGTCTTCACCAACCAACCATTGATGGGCACTGCCAAGCTGCCAGCAGGCCCTGTGTCAATGTGAAATCCACTGCCATGATTGGCTACGTCTATATATGTCTATGTTCTGAATGCTGTCTCTTAATCAAGGTGAATGTTTTTGCCGTTTGGTATCCAGTAGGCCCAGTAGGATGTCAGGTGTGCTCCCTAATGGCAAACCTCTTGATGGTCAACCCTTCAACCTTGACATCTGCAATAGCACTGAGGCTACCAGCTGTGCTTCCCAGCATCTCAGCAATCCCTTGATTCTCAGGAGATATCTGAAATCTGAAATCGCGCCGCTGGCGCTTAGTCACACACTCATCCTGTGAGCTCCACAAGGCTTTTCAGATGTACTGCTGGAAGACTTCATTGCGGCTGTCAATCCTGCTTCACAAAATGATTTTGTGCCGACCATGGTAGTGTTGTAAACCTTCCAATGTCCATTTGGGATCGAAATACCTTCCAATTCCAACTCGAAAGTCTATGGACACTCTCAGGAAGCTGGTGGGATTTGGAGGCACATAATGCCTCACCAAGGTGCCATGGAACATGGCAATTCTTCCCACGTCTAAGATCAGCGGATGGAAATCATTGGCATTGGGCATTGACTCAACCCAAAGCGTTGTGTGGGTGCGGTCATAGTCAGTGAGTGGCATCCAAAAGTTGACTTCCCCGTCCTCAGACCATCAACCCAAACATATCTTTGACAGGCACTGTATTGGACTCAGGAACTCAACACCTGCCAAGTAAATATTGTATAGCGTATGCAAACACGATCAAAAATTAACAAAGGAGCAGTTCCCTAAGCTACATGACGAAGTCATTTATGTCTGGACATGGGCAACACTAGTAAGGTGCTGGAAGGTGAGTCAAAACATGCCAACTTTTCTGAGCCACTTGGTGACCAAACTCTGCATCGCGGTGCTGGCGCCGAGGCCGCGAACTGGGTCCGGGCTGCAAGCGCAAGGTGGGAGGGTATTGGCAATAGAAAACCATTGAGTTTTGTCCTGTCTCGAGTGGGTCCTGTCGAGTTTTGGGACTTGGTACTACCTGGTACCATACTTTTCGTGCATGATGAAGCATGGCTGCCTACTTTTCGTCGATTAGTTTGCTTTGGTTTGACAATTCTTTTGGGCTGAAGTCCTCTTCGTTCAGCTTGGCCTTCAGGTAGGGACATACAACTTCTCTGAGTAAATGCTCGTAGCAGGACAAGAGCTCAGAACTATCCAGGATGCATTGCCTCATGTGTCATCAAGTCCACTTGTTTTCTCAATAGCGAGCAAGGTTTTGGAAACAAAATGAAGAAATCCACATCTTTCCACCAAGTTGCCTCCAACCTCAGTTTTTACATCTCAGTGCAACGAAGCAAGCATAGCCTGCCGTGTACACTCTCTCCGATGTATACCATATATATTTATGTCCATATGTATATACCTGAGAAAGGAGAGGACGAAAGCCAGCGAGAGACCAACATGGTAGTGCAAGACTGGGAGGAAAAAAAATAGCGGAACACTTATTGTTGAATGCCTGTAGCTTTCGTGAAGCTTGTATCAACGTGGAGTAGACCAAGATCGGAGCACAGCATGAAGTGTTGAATGTTTTAGGTTTTCTCGATTTTCCTGGCGCGGTGCTCTGGAGAGTCCCTGTTTCATTGTCTACTTGAGAATCCGTGTAAAAATAAACGTCAGTGAAGACCAGGAGAAGGATGCCCGAAAGGTGGTTTTTGGTTGTTTTGAAATGTGTTTCGGGCATCGTGCATCAATACGAAGCCCTATAAAGAGCAGGGCTGGGAGAAAAAAAAGAGAGCACTAATTCTTGAATGGTTGTAGTTTTCATGGAGCTGGTATCACTGCGACGTAGATGAAGATCGGAGCACAGCATGAAGTGTTGAATGTTTTTAGTATTCTTGATTTGCTTGGTGCGGCGCCTTCTGGAGCGTCCCCTGTTGGTTTTAGAATCCGTGCAAAAATAAGCGTCAGTGAACACCGGGAGAATGATGCCCGAAATGGTTTGTGTGGTTGTGTTGAAGTGTGTTTCGGGTATATATACGGTATACGGTATCGTGCATCAATGCGAGACCCTATAGAGAGCAGGGCTGGGAGGAAAAAATAGCAGAGCACCTATAGTTGAAAGCTTGTAGTTTTGTGGAGCTGGTATCACTGCGACTGAGATCAAGATCGGAGCACAGCATGAAGTGTTGAACACTTGCAGCTTTTTTGCTTCTCCTCTTGCGGCGCTAATGATGCACTACTCGGCGTCCATTGCATCACTCGCATCACCAGACCCAATTTTCACTGCTTTTCCGACCCTCGCTTTGGAGCGCTCTCCCCCAGCAAGCTCCGGGTTCACCCTCTCAAAAGGTGCCTTTTCGCCCCTTCCCCCCCACACCCCCTTAACTCACTTCGTTCGCTCTAAGAGCTCAAGCCTAGCCTATCGGCTGGCTGTCATAATATATATATTATGGAATGTGAAAACCAAATTGGAGAGAAGCAATTCAAGACATCAAGAAATCTAGATATACAACGACACGTGGAATACAAATGAAGCAAATCAGGTAGACAAAAAGGAACTCTACCAAAGAATCAAACAACCAAAGAAAGGAGAAAGGCTTGACAATGAACAATCGATAAAAGCAATTGCGGACAAGGGACGTGGGAGCAAGGCAAATACAGTATCAGTAAGTGTGTGGAAAACAAAAAATGCAAAACGAATGCAGAAATGGTGGATACCTAATTATCGCTGCACAGTTTAAAGTTTAAAGACCTGTTTTGCTGCATACTTTTGTTGGTCGATTTTGTTGCTGCGTGTAATTATGTGCTTCTTGTAAACAACACCACACATACACGTTCTAACAATCTCTACATGAACAGGTGACAGTCGATTTCTCAAACACCGACTCAGCCTTCGACGTTTCTCATACTTGAAGGAGCTGAAGACTTCCTACAAGCACTCACACGTCAGACGGGTCTTCTATATATATATATATACAGTATGTAATATTTTAATTAATATTAAATATATATATATATACATCTTCTGTTCATTTTCGGCCCGATAGCCAGAGCTGGAAGCGCCAAGAAAGCGTGGTCATATAATCTAGTTCATATTGGCTGCAGGATGGTCATGAAGCGCGAATTGATTTTAAAGACTGCAAAGCAATATAATTGAAATTAATTGAACATTATATGTGTGACATATGCAGTATGAGGAGCCGCCTCCTTCGCTTGAAAGAGCTCAAGGTCCTTGCTGCTTTCAAACTTGTCAAACGATCCAAAGCCAATCTTTGGCCCTGCCCAGTGCAAGAGAGCCGCAACGTGGCTTCGGAAGTCATACGTTGCTCTGTCATACCTTGGAATCAAATGGAAAAGCTGACTGCAAAGGCAAAGAAATGTGCTATAGTAAGTCCGACAACAACGACATCATGAGAGCCTCTGCATCAGGTCTGCTGACAACGACAACAAATAGAAAAGCCTAGCCACGGTCTACATGAACAAGGAAATTCATGAAATGCGTTCATCAAGAAATGGGACCAAGTTCAGCCGGACAGGAGCTGACTGAGCCCGACCACAAAAGGTTTCGATTTTAAAGCAAACCAACTAGACCAGAGGGAATGCATGCTCGGAAGGGACCAATCGTATGGGCCAAACAAATTGAATTGAACATGACGTGCCGGGTGCCGAATGGGAAGTCAAGGGACATGGCAAACGGCAATGGACCGAATACACCCGAATTCAATAATCTTTTATTGGGTGCTGCAACTGCATTAGGATGAAACATGCACATGCTTTACTAACCTGCACAATTCTGGGTCTGGATCTTGTGTGCTCCGTGGGGCAATCAATCTGGATTAGTGAGTACCAGAACAAAGATTGATTTTGCGATCTCCCCGAGTAGCTTTCTTGCATCGTCATTCACCAAGCACTGCAAACTCAGGCAAGGTGCTCTAGCTGCTCTTCAGCCCGCAATGCTTCCGGAAGCTCTGCTTCAACTTGAGGCCTTGGGGATAGTAGCCTGACGAGAGGTGGCACAACGGCCTCTGGATTTGCAGTCGCCCCCTGCACTACAATTAGCATCATACAGTCCGAGGCAGCGGGAAGGGCTTTCTTGTCTTGGTGTGTCCAACTCCAGCCATTTGTCTTACAAATTCAGTGTGAGTCATGCCTAACCAAACGAAGGTTGCGCTTGAGATTTGGAAAAACTTACACAAATTCCCATTCCCTAAACATAATCAATCATTGAGCCAGCTTAAAATTCCATGAAGCAATCTAACGCTGTCTGACAGAGACTTGAGGAGAAGAAACAACTGGCACTTCAAACATCCAGTGCGGGGCTGCCCTCAAGCTTGTCCAGGGGAAAGTCCAGAAAAATCCGAGTGGCAACATTCGCTCCCCCAAGCTTGTTGGAATGCCAGGGTTGGACCGCACCTCAGATCCTGCAGTTCAGCATACAAACGACGTTCGTTACTGTGACCAATATCTCTGACTTTCCTAGTCCTCCTCTACCTTTTGATTCCTCGGCCTCAACACTATTTCTGCCTTGCACATATTTTAGGCTATGGCCATGGCCATCTATCAAATACACATGTTTTTTTCCAGTAAGCCTATTGGCATGGTTTATAAGCTGCGGGGTCGCTAGTGCACTCCAAAAAACAAAAAGCAACACTTTGCTGACAGCAAGTGAGTCCTGCTGGCCCAGAACCCATCACCACAGCATGCTTTTGCTTGTGTTGGTCTTTGCCAAGCCATTGGCGGCTGCATCTCCGAGCAAAGGCCAATGCGGCCAGCTGCCCCCAGTGCAAACCATGGTGGTTCCAGTACGGTTGGCTTCTCGCTAAGGCACCTGAAGGATTAGTGTCGCTGTTGCCCACTGCAACTTTGATTGGCAACTGCTGACATGGTGATCTGCCAGGAGCAGGTGTGGTTGGCAACATGGCAGCAAGCAAAGACTAGGACTAGGAGGCTGACCTGACCTTGTTCAGGAGAATGCATGACAGCAAGCCCCTGACTGTAGACCCAAAAGCATTGTTGAGGTTTCACTATGGTTGTACATGAATCTTCAGCCCAAGGCTGCAGTCTGCAGTCTGATATCACCTGCTGTTGACCTCGCAGACATGAGACGGGGGACAGGATTGCGGCATGACACGGATCCGTAGGATGCAGACCAGTACATTCGATGGTCATGGTCCTCTCGAGGAGATGGACCTGCCACGTGAAAGCCACACGTGCAATCATGGTCGGGACGAAAGAGCCAACCATCAAATACCACTGCAGAATCTTTTGTTGAAAAGGTAAGTCTTCAAGAGGCTGAGGCTGCTAAGCTCTATTGAAGAATGTGATGGAAGCACGGCATGTTGGCATGTGTGCAAGGTGGACTTCCACCGTTGGAACCCTGACTCCACACATTTGATAGCGATATGATATTGCAATAATATGGCCAAGTAGGCGTGCTCTGCAATGCCACCCAAACAACAGCAGAAGCATCTAGACTCAAGAGTCTAACTCCCTTTTTCATAATACTGACTAAGCTTCATGCGGTGACTAGCAATGATCCTGATGATTCTGAATTGACCGCTTCACTGAAGGAAACACAAAGAATCCACAAACAGCTTCCCTGCATATCGAAAAAGGCATCCTTCACACTGGTGAAGTTCGTTCCAAGCAAGCTTTAATCAGCAACATCCAGCTGCGCGTTCATTGCCAACAAATCCAAAGCATCTTAGAGGGTAAAAGCTCAAATCACTGACTACATCCATTGCGTTCCCAAAGGAAACTGCATACAACTGCAAAGAGCTTTCATGGCAAAGGTGCAGCTTGATTCCCGCCCCCTAATTGGCTTTTTGGTTCAAAACGCCACATCAAGAGGTCTGAGGCGGGGCTCCAACTGTAGCCGCAAAATATCTTTCATGTACAGGCGAGCATTTGCGTCCGCATTGTGCCGCCTAGCGCGACTGTTTCCGTTAGTCTCTACACAAAGAGCTGGGCTACCTCCAAGTCTGAGAGATTTCGCGGCACGATCTCACACCAGGCTCCGAACTTCCACTCCCAGGAAGAGTCGTTGCCTGCGCCAACTGCACAAATGACTGGGATATCAAAGAAATCTAGAGAATCGAGATGCACAACAAATTGTTTCTTGGCGATTTATATACAGTACAGCATGAAAAAGCTAGAAAGCAAGAATGCTGTGAGTGAGCCCAAGCTTCAAAGGGTAGGGCTCGGGCAAAAGCCGCTGGGACACTGTGGGTCTTCAAATTCAACTTGGGAAAAGGATCTGATAGCACCAAAACTCAAAGGGCATTGCGTTGCCAGCATCAAGCGATGGGCGACCCCAGCAGCTTCCGTGCGTGGGCGTGGAGTCGGAACTGAGGTGTCCTGGCCACACTCTCACGTGGCTATGGGCGATGGGTCAAAAGCATGGCAACTATGGCTATGCACTCACACCCACATGACATCTCTCTGCTTGTCGAGTGAACATCCAGGTCTTTTTTTGTTGTTGTGTGTGCACTGATTTGTCACTGGAAGTCCAGTGCTCACCCTGCCTGGCATTGGCCGACTGGGAGGAAGAAGTTGCTGCCCGGCGCGGTGATCTCCAGCTTTGGTGTGCCCGTGAAGGTCAGAGGGGCAGCACCTTTGCAAGCAGCAAGATCCTCCTGGGGGCAGCATGAAGAACCTAGTAGCATACTTGCTCCTAGTAGCGACGCCCTTTGTTCCTAGTAGCGTCCTTGTTCCTAGTACTAAGGCCCGGAGCCCCTAGTAGCGTCCTTGCTCCTA